TATCCAGGCGGGACGGAATGACCCACACGAGAATGACATAAAAATGGCATTGTTCCTTCTACAAGCCTTAAGCCCTTCAGCGACATCTTCTTCAGATGAACATATTCTTAAACCTCTGAACCCCACCGATTCGCCCCCAAGATGGGATCCATGGGTTACAAGGTTACAGGCACCGAATATGCCCATCAGCTCATAACAGAACGAGCAATCGACGAGCCTCGATCTCTGAGGGTCATCTACGTCGGAGCCGGAGTATCTGGGATCTGTGCAGCCATTCAATTCCCAAAGTTTGTCCCCAATCTCGAGCTTGCTATCTACGAGAAGAATGCAGACGTAGGTGGCACGTGGTTCGAGAATAAGTGAGTATTCCACTCAGCTTCTAGTCTTTGCTGTGAAGTTCTGATAGTTTGCTCACGATTTAGATACCCTGGTTGTGCTTGTGGTACGTGGAAGTTAGCTGGATGGTTTTACTTTGGACTGATCGTGTCCAGATATTCCAGCCCACTCGTATCAGCTGAGCTACGAGTCAGAGGTGAATTGGAGCAAGTTTTATGTTGGCGCTCCTGAGATTCTCGAATACTGGAGAAAGGTTGTGAAGAAACACAACATTAGGCCTCTGATGAAATTCGGACACGAGTGCACCGAAGCGCGATGGAATGAGAAGACTTGCAAGTGGCATGTCAAATTCAGAGTCCTCGGTGCAGGTTCCGACAATGTTGTGGAAGACGTGGCAGATGTGTTCATGACAGGGATAGGCGCGCTCAATGCATGGAAATGGCCCGACATCGAAGGGCTGCATACGTTCAAAGGTAAATTGCTGCACAGTGCCAACTGGGACCCCGACTACGACCCCACCGGCCACAAAATCGCGGTCATTGGGGGCGGAAGCAGCGGCATTCAGATCGTACCTACCCTTCAACCCAAAGTGAAAGGTATGGACCACTATATCAGAGGCAGAACGTGGATCGCTGCGAGCTTTGGAAGCCAACTGGTCCGCGAACGCAATGATGGCAAAGACGGCAACTTCGAGTACACGCCAGAAGAGATTGAGAGGTGGAAGCAGAACCCCGAGAGCTATGTGCAATATCGCAAGACGCTCGAGATCGGTATGCAAGGGAACTTCGCAATGACTCACCGAGGAACTCCGGAGCAACAAAGTGCCCGGGCAGCCTATACTACCGACATGCGGAAGAGGCTGGCTAAGAAGAGCCATATAGCTGATCGTCTTATCCCGGAGTTCGATCCGCTATGTAAGCGCCTGACGCCAGGACCTGGATACCTGGAGGCCTTGGTCGCCGACAACGTCAACGTCATCTGGGAAAGGATATCGCATATCGACGCCACGGGAATCACAACGGTAGATGGTATCCATCGACCTGTTGATACAATCATTACTGCGACAGGCTTCGACACGTCGTTTCAAGGCCGCTTCCCAATCTATGGACGGGGAGGTGTGAACCTCCAAGAACGGAATAAGCTACGCACGGAGACCTATCTAGGCGTTGCAGTCGATCAATTCCCGAACTTCTTTCATTCGTTGGGGCCCAATTCAGGGTTAGGAAACGGGAATCTGCTACTGGTGATCGAATCCATTGCGAACTACCTCGGACAAGTCCTTGAGAAGTTGTCGAAGGGTAACATAAAAACCATCGAGCCGAAGAGGAAGCCGGTGGAGGATTTCACCAACTATTGCGACGAGTTCTTCAAGAGGACTGTCTTCTCCGCCGCCTGCGGTTCGTGGTATCTGAAGCATGGAAGGATCACGGCTTTATGGCCCGGAAGCAGCATTCACGCGGCACGGGCATTGGAGAAGGTTAGATTCGAGGACTACGAGATGACGACTGTGGACGGCAACGAGTTTGGGTGGTTCGGCGATGGGTGGGCGGTCGCAGAACGGACGGGCGACGTCGAGGGTCTCAGTTGGTATCTCAACAACACCAACTTTCTACATGAGTCTTTGGAGCTGGAAACACATCTTCACGTTGAAAATGGGGAAGCTCTCGTTGGGGACAACATCAACAAGAATGAGTCCGATCCCAAGAAGAGGGATGTCATGACCGAGTACAAGGTACCGAATGGTGCGCTAGTAGCCGCCGAGATCTAGGGGGATGGCTTCGAATACACGAATCGTCTGTGCATATAGAGTACATTTACACTGCCTGACACGAAACGTAGAGGAAGATGGCGGAGTGCATTACTACAAGACTAAGCAGTAGAACCAACCGCAGACTGATATTCTCTCGAAAGAGGAAGAGGTTCGTAATGGTCGTCGGGCAGAAGCTCACGCAAAGCATGGATGAGCACCCTAGCGACGTATACTTTGAGCATGGCCAAAAGCCGGATTCCCCTCTTGATGCAGGCATCCCTGGCGAGCGACCGCCAGCCGCTGGTTGTATACTCGCCATACCACGCTATCAGGGTGCTGAAGTAGATGCAGTACGGCAAGTGAGGAGGAATGGGTATGTGCATGTGCCTCTTGTCGGTCATTTCTAGGTGGTCACGGTCGGATACCCCGAAAGACTGCTGGACCAGCTGTAGCATCGCTTTGGCATGCCATATGGCCGCTTCAAAGCGTCGGCTCCCGGTGCACTCTTGGAGCATCTGTTGGGTCTTTTCCTCCTCCGCTGATTCTGCCGGCTTGATGAAGTCGCGCGCCGATGTTTGGAGCAAGCTCAAGTTCACTTGAAGTTGGAGATGGCTCAGATGATATAGGAGCACAGGAGGCAGGGCGGACGGTGTGGGAGATGGTGCTGTCGCGTTCACCCATCGTTCCAGTCCAAGTTCTATGAATTCTGGACGCCACAGCGGCCATCCCCGTGACTCGGTCTTGTCGCGATGGCTGGCCATCCAAGTCAACGAACCCAAATTGGCGACCTCACGGAGATTGCCCCGAACGCTCGTGGTTCCAGTGGACGCACACAGTAACGGAGTCAGATCAACCTTCAAACAGCCGGATAGCTCTTGTCTGAGCGATGCAGGCATGAAGTATGGTGGTCGCTGTAAGAGGAGTACGTGATAGCTCTCAATGATGTCCAGAGCCTCCGAGATAAGCGAAATCTCTCGCCTCTCGGCCGGCAGGGGCTCAGACGACGCGGCCTGGATACAACAGCTCATCGCTTGGATCATACTGACGTGGAAAGCTTCGACGAATTCGTAGCTCCTTTTGTCTCCGCTGCAGATGCCGTAAATGGCCAGGAGAACGAAGGTCTTTACGCAATCCGAAGCCACTTGGAACGATGATCGCAAGTCTCGAGAATGGAAATTCTCGAAATGAAGCTTTCGAGCGTCGTTGTACAGAGTCCTGGCAAGGACGTGACCACATTCCACACCTAAGAAAAGGGCACCGACCGCGGCCATGGCTAGGCACAGCTCGCGGCTTGTGTCATTGTGTGCTGCGTAGTTTGCGTAGATCTCGAACGTAGGAGCTAGGTGGCGGCGTCCGATATTGAGCAGCACATTCAGTACTTCCCTGTCGTATATTTGAAGTCGTGGGGGCGTTGAGTACAAAGACCGTTTCGAATCGTTCTTACCCGGGCTAGATATCCTGGACCGTCGTCTAAAGTGCTCGAGAACCCAACTGATGGCATTATCGATTTGCGAGTCATTTGCTGGCGGGGTGGTGTGAGTCCAGGCGCTTGTGGGAGAACCGCCGATCTCATGGAGCCAGGTTTCGGCTCCCTATTCTCCCGGTGAGCAGGAATATTCAAGAACTCATGGTGGAAACATACCGATGTCGGGAAGTCCCATATTCCATCCATAAAGTCAATATCTCCGTTGTTCCAGTCCAGATTGTCACTCTCAGTGAAGATGGGCTCGAAGCCGGATGGAAAGGAGGCGTCAAAAGCAGGCAAGATAACCCCATGCTCTTTCGAACTTGCAGTCCCTGCACCTGATAGTGAGGCACCGCGTAGATTGAGCAAGTCGGTGCTCCCAGGGCAAGCGGCTGTCGGAGCCGAAAAGGTACTGTTGGTGGCCAAGTCAGAAATCGCTGCTGGCAGAGGAGCAGTACCACGCGTTATTGCTGCATGCTCGGGCACGATCTGTGTAGATTCCGCATCCACAGAGATATACAAGTTCTGATTTCTCGGCCGGCCTGGCCCTTTACGAGAGCTCGATGTGCTGCATGGTAGTTCCTTGGTTCGGCATGCTTCACAAGGACGTTGGTCGTCGCATTTCAGCTTTCGCTTACGGCACTGATCGCATGCCATCTTCAGTCGCTCTTGAGGAGGATGTCTGTCTGTCTTTAGTTCCTGGCTGCTGTGCTCCGTCATGGCGTGCAATCGCTTCACATGTCTGTCTCTAACGTCAGGCCGTGGGAACGTGACGTGACAATTAGGACACTCATAAGGCTTCTCTCTCGTGTCTGATTGGTGCCCATGATCAGCATTGTCGTGGCATATGGTATTCAACCTCTTTTAACTCACGGGTTCTGCGGTGTCGCAGCAAGTGTTCATTACGAGCAAAGGAACGACCACAAACATCGCACTGTAAACGGTTTAGTGCAAGCACATCATAAACCAGGGGAGTTGAACTCAGCAGGCCCAGTTCGCTCAAGAACTTACAATCTTACTGGACGAACTTATCCTGACTGAACTCTCACTCATGTTGATGTGTTGAATAACAAGGATCGAACATTTCCAAAGAGACCACGCCCCAGAGGCTGTTCTTCTGCAGAATGGACTCCAGGTCGAGGTCGAGGCTTCTGTCGCAAATGACAACCTTCCCTGATTTTGGTAGTAGCTGTATCGACCTGCGCACGCGTTGGGCTGGCTGAACCCTTTGTGATGGGTCCTCCAGATAATCTTCTGAAGCATGCTCTGGAGGGCAATGTCGAGTGTGGTTACGTGTATCCCCACACTCCCCCGGCCTACCCCGCCGACCCACCGACTCCGCCACGGAATTTATGACTCAGCATAATTATACCTTCAACATCTTTGATGGTCACCACTGTGCTCTTCATCTCTTTGCTTTCTCTTCCTCCAAGCCTCGGCATTTACGATCCCTGAAGATGCGCCAGAAAGCTGGACAGGAGGCGGATAGATGTTGTCATCAGCGACGAATTGGCCCGGTGAGCGAGAGCCTGCTCGCGACGATGTCCAGGTTGCCAATGAGACCCCGGAAGCGGCCTTTTTCTCGCAATTCAAAAGCTGTCTATTGGCGGATCCGGAGGCCTTTGGCGATGAGAGCTTGATGAACTTGGAACTAGATGTCCGTCGATCCAACCCTTCTTGCGGGACTTTGGCTGACTTGGCTCAAGTTGACCGCACCAAAGAAGTACACCTATCCGTTGACGTTGCTGTCCGAGTTCCCTAGGCAGCTCCCCACGGAAGGTGAAATCGCGCATCTAATAGAGCCCTTCGCCCAGTGCTGCTCCAGTTCTCCATTCCTGGGCAGATTGCACATCCAAGCCGGTTCACCTGAGCCCGTTGCCGCCCCCTTGGCCTTTGCAATCGGCTGTTTGGCGTCGGTGCACACTCGCAACGCCGCAGAACAATCGAAGGACCTGTTTTTCGCCTCGCGTGGCCTCTTGGGTGCTTTGATGGAGATCGACAACCGCGAATCGCGCTTCCCGGACCTACTCCTCGCCGTTCGTACCCTCCCAGCAACAGCTATGGGCTGATCTTCAGTCTTTGTTAATCATCTCTCAATCCAGGCCACCCTCGACTCGATCTATGGAGCACTGAGCGCGGATACAGCCGTCTGGGCTCAGGCCGGCCAAACGCTTTGCACATCATTCACGGTGGGTAAGGCGTCTACTCCCAGGCAGCAAGGGGCTAAGAGAGTTCGAGATTGCGCGGCGAATGCGGTACCATGACCCGAAGCAGTTCGAAAGACTTCGAGGCTGTCCGGCGCCATCTCATAGGTTCGTCGCTACCAAGCTTGGACTGCTGCGGCTGACCTGAAACGCAGTGGACCACTGGTCTGGTGTCTTTGGCTGATAGATATCATCCAAGCCCTCCACTTTGAGCTCTCGATCAACTTTTTTACCTCGAGAGAGCTCAAGACTTCTATGCCAAGCTCCACATTGGAGTTTCAACATGCCTACCGCTCTCTTCTCGACGACCGAACGGATTGTCACCAGTTGGCCGGGGAGCATTTAGGCCAGGAGGATGCGCTGCTTCTTCTGATGGCCTTGTTGTCAGACCTACTCCACGCCCGCCGTGCACTTGAGCAAATGCTCCCCTTGACAGTATTCACCGGCGAGCAATCGACACCCTACAACCCTTTCGGTCCTTTCTCGCCACGTTTGGAGCTGGATCGTGTCGAAGGCCAAATCTCCCGCGCGCTAGACAAGTGGCACAAATGGTTCCATGCCGGTGTGCCGCCGGAGATTATGGCCTTTTACCACTACTGCAAGATGTATCTTTCCTTTGATTACTTACTGAACCTCCCCCGTCTGGCTGGGTACAGAGGCGTGGCATCAGCGCCATTCCCGAGTGAGAAAGTTTCGCTTGCGGATACTACCGTTCGGGCAGCCTGGCGGATTTTGGACAGCGCAGCCATGTGGTCACAACAAAATTCAGCCGATCAACTATGGCCAATATGGCTTCCCATTGTCGTCTTCCACGCCGGCCTTGTCGTCTGGGCTCAGTATAGTCTTCCCGGCGCACGAAGTTCCGCACAATACGGAAGTCCGAGAATCCTGCTCGCTTTCAAAATTGAGCTCGACAAGATGCCTTGGCCTTGTTGTGTTGAGATGGCGGCAACTCTCGAGAGGCTGATTGCAGCACCAACCCAAGAAGTGCAGTAGGCACAATTCCGGCCAGCATTGGTCATCAAGCGTTTGCTGTGTCCAGCTATGAAAGAGGGCAGCCATGGAGAGACTCGACAATCTGGCACTGAGGTTCAATGAACGCAAAAGCCCATTCAAATTGTTGCAAGCGGTGGACAGAACTAGTTGTTAAACTCAACTTTAGTTGGGCTTTCAAGAGGGTTTCATACAAACTTTTCTACCGCCAACCACAAATATTGTGTTGTTAACTTTCACAATGTTGAACTCAAGCAAACTGGACCTCCGCCAGTCCATGTTTCCTTGATGCTTGACTCAAACGCCGGCCGAGTGGTCATGCTGTCCATGACGATGAAGTGATACGCCCGTTCCCTTCCGTTGCAGCTCCTCCTTCGTTTCAACAGGTGCATCGATATGCCCGGTGAATTCTCCTTTATTATCGACAATGAAGCAGCTCACTGTTGTAAATGTCCGTCAGCCGATGATACGGGTTTGGTTCGATCGGGAGACTTACGCAGTGTTGCCACGGCTGCAAAGGCCGCAGCAGCAATCCACACGTGGCGGAAGCTGATGGTATATGCGTCCTTGACTCCCCTTTCGGCGGCCTCGATGATCTGGGGTGAGATTCCCGGGATTGACCCCACCATAGTATCGTTCCGCGTAATCAGACCGCTCAACAGTTGCCCAGCGAACCGGGGCTCAAAACCTAGAGGGGTCACTTGGGCGAGCACCTTTTCGGGGAGCTTCTTGCCAAGTGAGTTGCTGAACAGTGCCTGGAAGATCGAGAGGCCAACGGTACCCCCAGTGCTGCGCATTCCAATCATCAAGCCACTGGCCAGCGCGATGAGCTCCGGAGGAGTGGACAGCTGGGCGGCCACGATGACTGCGTTGAGCGCCGACCCGAGTCCGATGCCCAGAAACACCGTAAACCCCACGGCGCTCGACCGCGTGGAAGGCGTCAGAGACGCCATGCAAGCAAAGAAGACGGTGACGCAGGTCGTGGCGAAGACCAGGGGAATCCGGAGCGTTTTGGTCCGAGAAACGTAGAGCCCAGTTATCACGGTGGCGACGTTGGCGCTCCAGAAGACGACGGTGAAGTCCAATCCAGCATGGAAGAAATCTCGATCGTAGAGTGCCGCAGTCTCATAGGCATAATAGGTGTTGGCCGCGAAGAATGCCAGGCCTTCCGTGAAGATGAGAGTTAGGCAGATGGCGAAATTGCGCCCACGGGAGAATAGACTATGGTGAAGCATGCCTACTTTTGTGAATCTCAACTCATAGATGACGAACATGAGGAGCATCAGCACGCCGACCACAAGCGTCCCGATGATCTTCGAGCTGCTCCAGGCGTAGACGCCGCTGGATGAAGTCAGTGCGTAAGAGAAGAGAATCAATCCGGGTACAAACATGAGATAGCCGTACCAGTCCAGCTGAGAGAGTTTCTCACGTTGACTGAGCTCGACTTGCATCGACCGCGGGAGAGGTTTGTATAGCCAGGCAACGATCAAACTGAGAACACCATACAAACCTGCTGTGATATAGAAATAGACTCGAAAGCCTTCCGGATTGAAGCGTACTAGGGCGCCTCCCATCATTGTCCCGACAAATCCCCCGGTCGCAGACGCTATGTTGACCGCAGACTGTGCGAGCGAACGATATTTCCGAGGGATGATCTCTGAGGCAATCGCGTGGACCAGTGGCTGCGCTCCGAGAGCCAGGCAGGCAATACTCTGTCCACCGATTACCACGCCAAAGGTTTTCGCGCGCGATGCAATGAGGCAGCCGATAAAGCCTGTGGCGGTGAAGCATACCACGAACCATTTGCGTCCATAGTAATCCGAGGCCTGGCTGATAGGGGCACCTAGTGCCGCAGCCGAGATGGCCAGAGTCGAGACAAGCCAGATGGATTGGTTGGTACCACCGGTAACAGTGGTGATGGAGGTGGCAAGCAAGCCATTTCCAGCGACATGGAGGACCTGAACAAAGTATACGGCGACGATGGCCTGCTCAAACGTCAGTGGGGCCTTGCAGTACCACGGATATCCCACGATGCGGTCCGTACGATTAGGAGAACGAGAGTCTTAGCATGGATATGCTGCGAAGCTTCATCGTCCGGGCTCTCGAGATCTTGTCGTATATCGTCGACTCTCTCGACGGTGCTGTCTTGGTTGGCCTTCTCATCGTAGATATGTCTCAGAGGAGTCGACATGGCTATCGGAATCCGAGTTGTCTCATCAAACAGTAGATAGAACTGATTTGGGCTCTCGTCTTGTTGCCTGCATTGACCAACAAGTCCGGGGTAGAGGTATTCTCATATACACCATGCCCATGGCGCAGAGGAATCTCCATCGGGGGTTGGCGGAGTGCCGAGACGTTCCAGAATCTGGTAATGGAGTAGCTGTTCTTCAGTTAGATCTTGGATGAAGCCGAAAGTCGGCGCTTTGCAAATTGTCAAAGAAGCCTCCGAGTTAGTTCTATGCTGCCACCGTCTGTGAAAGTCTTATACGTGCAGCAGCAGCAGCGTGTGCCTAGGCGGCGCATATCTCCAATACTGCTTGGGCGCTTCAGCATTGTGTATCGACTGTGATGTGCTAAGGTGCCAACATCAGCTCACAATTTTGCCTGACATTGCGCTTCATAGTGCTCGTACGTTGGGATCGCTTCTGTTGGACTCCGCCGCCCAGAAAGAGGGCCACGTCTCCGCGGCCTTGTACTTCGTGGGCTAGAACATTGTGACAAGACGAACACCGAATGGCTTGGAAGAAATGGGACTCCGAGCTCGGGCTTGTGTGAATACATCCGGTGCGGAGTAAATAGACTCTACCTGAAAAGACGAGGGCGGGGATGGAGGGATTCCTGTCGTCTCGGGCTCGAGAGAAGAAACCTTCCAAAACTGTGGCACTGACAGCCAGGCTAGGCGGAAAGCTCCCTGCAACCAGCGTTGGTCAGTGAAAGCGGCTCTAAGGTAGGATATAGAGGCCCAGCCGGTGTGACCAGTCTGCTGGCCACGGTTTAGCATTATACCTGGGATTGAGCATGATGCTTAGAGGTAGTTTCGAAAGAAGAGGGCTCGAACATAAGATAACGATCAGATTCACCACTCTGCGTTGTAGCCGGCTTGCCTTTCATGGGTACATAGTATATCGGTCGCATAGTAGATATGGTGATGACTTAGCAGGACTGGACACGATGCCTCCCACACCAAGACCTGCTGCCCAACACATGAGAAGAAAAAAAAAACCAGAACGCGGACACCGATATGCTCGAATGCAGTAGATGGCCACCCTCACCGTGCAATGAAGAAGCCTCAGCATAACCCACTTCTCAGTTCGCTGTGGTCCTGTTGCAACCTCCCCACCTTTTGTCAGAAGCTCTCGTGCCTCGTTTCTCTCTTCGCAGTCCGTATTGTACATCGGCCCATACTATTTCTGAATATGTGTGATGAAGTGGACAGGCCGCCTGTTTAGCCACGGCATCAGACACGCTCGCGCTCACTGATAGACCACTCATTTTTGATGCGGATCGCATTCGGTTCATGTCCATGGTCGAAGCTGACCGTGTCGTCTCGGCTCACCTCGCTATGCGCTTTGACCACCTGCGACAGTTCCACGACGCTGTCGTTCCGCATGTATGATGCTCCGCGGGGATACGGGTTGGACTGCTGGTCGCGGCGCGAGGAGGAAAGGAGGCGCGGGAATATCAAGCTGATGACGGGTCTCATGGCGGGGATACAGGCGCACATGATGCCCACGTTGAGTTCGGCAGCTGACCAGGTCGCAGCACCGACATTGTCGTAGGTGAGATCGGTCGATATGCTGGCGATGTAGAGTGCGTGAAGACGGAGAATGGCGGTGATGCATCCGCTGTCTCGGGGTTAGCTGGACCACAATTCTTTTGTTCGAGGACTGGGACGTTTCAAACATACAAACCACCCAAAGCAAACACGGCGATTAAGCTGATCTTCTGTTTCCTAGGAAGTTGCAGACTCTTCAGAACAGGCATCGGCAACACCCAGACTGCCAGGTCGGTGACGATGTTGAAGCCGGAAAAGCTGAACCAGAATGCCATGAGATCAACGCAGTGGCCGCCTTTGATGCTCTTGTCCCAATAGTATGCGACGGGCCAGCAGGAGAAACAAGAAGTCAAAATGAAGGTGACTCCGGCGACACAGATGAAGACAATGAGGATCCATGCAGCCAGACGGTAACGTCTCTCAACGAAGAATCTTAAGTACTGGTAGAGGATTGAGTCTTTGACTAGGAACAGTCCTAGGTTGTAGACTATGATACTGGCATACAGCAGCTGATGGTTGTGTCAGCAAAGGATGCTGTCGATATAATCATAGATGATAACGAGCTGGGTACCTTTGAAAGCGTCTCGTTGTCCTCTTCGCTGACCGTGTCCGCATGACGACCCAAGCCATGGTCCTTTTCTGAAATCACAACCAATGTCAGTCGAATGGTTTCCCAAAGAGGGATTTCCGAATACTCACGAAGCGCAATCGTCACGGTGAGACCAACAGAAAGTACCAAAGCGAATATGATCAAATAGTCTTCAGGCCCAGCCTGGTGGATGACCATAAACCGAGAAATGCACCGAAGCACAATAAAGACAAAAGCGAGTGCGTTGAATACAGCAGCTGTCACCACAGCTTGCATCCCACGTTCGAGTCCCATCCTGCCTGGGCATATGTGACACAGCAGTGGAGATCAGGTACACAGCGTGATATTCAACGGCTGCATCCGAAGTCGTCAGATGTGGGAAAGCAGGGCAAGATATGGACTGGGACAATGGCCCCAGCGAGGGATCTGGAGGCGCAAGGACCCCTGGAATCGATGGATGGGCAGACAGAAAAAATTTCCCACCATGAGCGACACTCGGCGCCAGGCTCGTATCCAAATCGTTGGTCTTGCTGGGCACAATGGATGAGTGGCTGCTAATTTAGCATAGACTCATGACGAGCAACGGCTGGTTCAGGAATAGGAAGCGAAAAAGGGGGAATCCGGGGTAAAGTGTTTCTAAGTAGAGTCGAAGAACTATGAGACGGCCATGACGGCCTGGATGCAAGAGTTGCATCAAAGAGGTGGTGCGAACCTGGATGCTTGTCTGTGGGGGACATCAGTCAAACGGGATCCCACACCAGCAAACTTCCCCGTGACAGCCTCCCTCCTTTATTGCAAGGGAGAATTGCCTGAAGAGGAGATAGTCACCACGTGGCTGCAGAGGGTCAGAGGGTAGCATGAGCGTACTGGTCAGGGACCATGACGGCGATTTGGTGGCGCTCAGAACAGAATGCATGGCAGGTTCGAACAGGTGTAGTCAACAGTGCGTGGATACGAGCGCCCAGAAAATTCAAGGCTCACCAGATCCAAGGGGCTTTCGATGGTCAGACAAACCGGTGGGCGGGTCAACGGCAGGCATACGAGTACTCCGCATGGAACAAATGCCTGGCCAAAGTATATTACTTCTGTTGGTCCTCCTAGATGTGGGAATGGTCGAGCCAATGGAATGTACCCAGAGATAGGGATATCCCACAGACAGGAGAAATCGTAGTCGCTGCAACAACCTTGCAGCAGTCCATGTAACGAAAATTGCATAGACGGGCCGCACCACTGCCGTCGAGACGAAATAGGGTATGACGAGATCTTCGGTCACATCCCTGCTCGATGGATTTCTGCTCGAGTCAACTTATTGATCCTGCCGCGAGACCGAGGCGAGCCATGCATCAGCAAACACAAATAAAACCCCAGTGGCCCGGATGATCGTCGCTGCGGGAAGGGAGGAATCTGCATTTGACTTTGCTCACCCCAACAGTAATAATGGGGCGAAGCGTCCAGGGAAACAATTTGCCGGGAAAACAACCCCTTGCCAACTCATCCTGCTCACTCTGCCGGGGGTACCATGCTCGGAAAGTCAGCCTGGCGTCGCTGGTGGTGTGACAGTGCTAGAGAGGATATACGAGTCGGGCTCGTACTTGTATACAAGTAGGTATGTCCACGGAAATATGACAACCTCGAATTGCTCAGTCCGCTTCTCTGGTGGCTTTGGATAACGGTGCCCACTGTCGGAGAAGAAACCTCTTTGGGATTTCGATCTTCTCGTGTATGCAAGGGGAGTGACATCCCCTCCATCTACTCATCCTCTAGTTGTGCTAGCTTCGTTAGCACAGCCTGCGGCTCAGGTCCAGGCGGCACACTAGGCCGGGCGGAAGCATGACACCGACTCGATTCTCAGGGACGTTGCCTGGTTCGGGGCGTGGTCTGGAGAATGTGAAGGGCGCTATCCTCGGAACCAGGCCGAAGCCTTCTCCGCCTGCGTGGACAGGAAAACGAGCCTCGGTGGGCTGGGCCCTGAGGGACGAATCCTGCCCCCGTGAAGGTGGGACTTCTCCCCGTCCTTTACCAGTAAAAGTGGGAGAGGTTTCGCGTCCCCGGCTGCCGTTTGTCCCAAACCCACAACGTTAGAGCCTGGCCCCGGTGGGCTATTCCGGGGGAAAGCAGCTGAGTCGCAAGTAGGTAGGTAGGGGGTTGTTCTGGGGTCTGGGGCCATCCCTGACTTGCAAATTTTTCTCAGAGTATGCTGCGGTGTCCTGTGGTCAGCCGAAGTTGCTGCTTGTCGAGTAGTTGAATAGTCCTAGTCCAGTCAAGTAGCAGGAATGAATTGCAACCTCGCCCTCTCTCAGAACGCTACCCATGGCCAACAGGAAGGCTTCAGCTCTCCACGAACAAGTCGGTCGAAAGGAACCGTGCACCGTCCGCCCACGGATGGACTGTTTCAGGCGTCATCTAGACAAGTAGCGTCATTCGAAAAGGCATAGTGGTTCTCTCGACGCGGTTCCGTTCTTCAAGTAGTCGCAATGCTGTCCAGTCCAAGTGATTTCATTAAGAGCCGATCCTGCTTCAAACCATAATTCTCGTCAATGTACAGGCATGACTACATCAAACGCCCCTGTGCCGATATCTCCTCTCCTCCCTGCCACAATGCGCGCACTGGGACCCAGCAATGGATCCCGTTCACCGAACAACACTGCATCCTTGAGGAATCCCATGACCGTCTCGAAGCTCATCTTTGCCAACAGGCTTCCCCCTTCTTTAACAAGACCGTGCCGGCTGAAAGGTTGGTAACTGCCGGAATGTGTCATAGCATCGGCAATGAGACTCAAATGCCGCCCATCAACGCTGATTCCGTGTCCTTTGAAGACATTGTCAATCTCCTTGACGATCGTCGCCCGCGCTGCTTCGACGCCGTAGTATTTCAACATATCGTGGACCGAGTTGGTGTATATCGAATGCGGGTGGATTTGGTCCTGGTAGTCACGCATGGCGAGTAAATTGACCCCTTCGGTTGTGATCATGGGCTGTTTGACTATCTCCTCCTTATTTGTCTCCGGATCAGTGCGTCTCACTGGTCTTCCGTCAGGGCCGTGCACTTCTTCCATAAATTGCGTGCAAACTCCGAGACCGGGAATGGACTGAATGACTGACGTGTGCGCGCATTTTTCGAGGAGAGGAAGGAGGAGCAGCTTGGGCGTCCTGGAGCTGTAGCTGAGGACGATGCGGCAGGATTTGCCCTGGTTTCTTGCGAAGATGAAACGTTTGAGGTGATCCAGTTCGCTTTTGAGCTGGTTGACTCGGGCCTCATCTGCCGAATCTTCAGCGTCATCTGCCTCATCATCTGGATCCAGTTCCCGGAGATTTTGAGCATTCCTAGATTTCTTTACCCTTTGACTGGTGCGCAACTTCTTTTCTTCCTCGCCCATGTCGCCATCATCATCACTCATCAGGTCATCGCCCGATTCTTGGGCTATGGCATCTTCATCCTCGTCAGGCTCGTCGAAGGTGTTCTCTCTTCTACGCCTGGCCGCCATATCTTTGGCGTCGTCTGGGTCTGCGTCTTCATCGATGTCGTCTTCGCCACCTTCATTTTCAGTAGCTCTTGGACGTCTTGTCCTGGCTGCCTCGTCAACGCCAATAGACACACCAACCTTTGGAACGGCCGCCGTAACCTCCGAGCGGTCGGCCTCTTTTGCCTTCTTTTTGAGCTCGACTTTAATCATCTTATCCAATCGCGGAAGAAACATTCTTTCGAAGCATCGCTGGACGTCTATCCTTTTGATGGCATACTCCTCTTCGTATTCCTCTGGGTCATATAAGTCAATTCGAATGTCGTAGATTCTTTCGGTCTCGTATCCTGCGCCGCCACCAGTTCTCTCGATGACATACATGTCATTAATGACATGAGAGAGCGGCAAGCGGCTGATGCTCTTGGCAAAGCGTTCTCCTTCAGAATTGTTCAACTCTTCGATGGGCTTGAGCGTCATCGTCGGAGTCATGATGTTAGCACTAGCAGTCATGATGATTTCCCGTAGTCGAGGGATACCGAGGGTGACGTTCTTTGCGGAGTGGCCAGCCAAGTGAAAAGTATTCAATGTCATCTGGGTGGAAGGCTCTCCCACCGATTGTGCGGCGACGACCCCGACCGCCTCCCCAGCATCGACAACGGACTTCATGTATTTCAAGTCCATGACTGCCCGAAAGGTCTTCTTGCCAAGTGTGCTATTTGGATTTGTCTTCTTGTCCCGAATTAGTCTGTTCGGGTCCAGCTTGACATAATCATTCAACGCTGTCGCAAACGACTCTGAAGTGCTTCCTAAATGGCTCGCGGGGCTGAAGGAAGCTGTCAACGGATCTTTCGGCTTGGATTTCTTCAGGGATTTCAGAATGATCTTCTGTTCTTCGCCCAGTTCTGATTGTGGGAGCTTGTGAATCACTTCTTCTGCATTCATAAGTGTTGCGACAGAGTGATGGTTTTCGGCAAGGAAGGTAAACTCCCTCAGATGCTTCTGCTTGGTGACTTCAAGACCGTCTTCTCCATACAGGAACTGAATAATACTTCCGTTTGTACTCTCTCGTACCGACGTGTCATAGTCTGTTCGAAGTCCTTCGAGACCCTTCACGATACAGCGCTGTAGGTAGCCGGATTTGGATGTTTTTACAGCTGTATCGATCAAGCCCTCTCTGCCAGACATGGCATGGAAGTAGTATTCTTGCGGTTTAATACCTGTCAAGAACCGCCCTGAAACATATCCACCAGCAGCTGGATCTGTCTCAAAAGCTCGGAAGGATGGTAGTGTTTTGCCACTGACCATGGTAGGAACTCTCCGCCCTTCCAAAACCTGCTGGCCAAGGTTACAAGAGATGAGATTCGCGTTAACGCTGGACCCTTTGGCTCCAGAGATCGTCATTGCTTGCATCTGATTTCGAGGGAATGGTTTTCGAAGACCAGCGGGCAAGCAAGCTTTTGAAACATTGTCCGTTATTGACTTGACTTTAGCCTTATAAACCTGATCCAGACCGTTGAGCTGCTCATCGTTACGGAGCACGTTTTCAAGACGACTGAGGAGTTCGGGATTTCCTTGGTCGACCTCGCCGGATTTTAACGTGACGTACTCAGTCGAAACCTCCAGGCCCATCTGTTTGGCCTTATTCAGTTCCTGTCGCCGTTCCTTGTCGCCTTGATGTGTTAGATAGAGATCATCCATTCCACAGGTCCAGGCGCGCTCGTTCAGATATCTTGTAAGAAGTCGGCCGAGGATGCTCATTAGTCTTCCTGCGGTGATATGTCCGTAAATTTCGTGCACCGAATGGATGAGACCTCCGGCACTGGGGCCAAGTTGACTCTTGTCGAGGATTCCGCACAGGTGTTCGCCGTCTCTGAAAATGACCACTTGCTCGGTGTCTCTGAACACGATCTTGTTACTGCTAACAGTCCATTGCTCAGGTTCATCGGATGTCTTTTCGCCCCACGAGTCCGATGACGTTGATGATTTGCTCGTAAGGTTGATACCGCGGAATCTCTCTGGCGTGATATTTTTCAAAACTGTCGTGATTACTTGCTTGCCAGTCCATTGCATCTTCGGCTTTAATATTGCCGGCTCCACCAGTTGGATCTTGTCAAACACCGTATTGTAATCTTCTGGCCTGAGACAGCTGTAAAGCAACTGTTGGTACTGATCCCGATCGAAGAATACATCTCGGCTGGTAAATTGAACGCCCATGGAGATATGGTCTTGAATCAAACCACGCAACGGTTTACCCGCCGTCGCGGAAAGGTACTGGTGATCCGTGTCTGCGATTTGAAGGGCTTCAGTTCGGGCGAGCTCATTCTGAGGGAAATGCATGTTCATCTCGTCGCCGTCGAAGTCGGCGTTGTAGGTGTTGCAGTTGGCGTAGTGCATTCGAATGGTCTTTTGGTTTGTTAACACGCGTGCACGGTGACCCATCATGGAAGGTTTGTGCAGGGTAGGCTGACGATTCATGATGACCACGTCGCCAGTTTGGAGATGCCGATACACCTTCTTACCATTCTCCCCTTTTGCCCCGGGGGCAGTCGATGTCATCAGCTGTTTTGCTAGGGCTCTTCTCTGCTCGATCGTCTTGCGCTTCAAGCTGAGAACCATTCCGTTCTCATTCTCAATGGCTGCCGCTCCAGGGTACTTTTCGGTGCCGTTAATCACTGCCTTGCTTAACTCCTCGAAGTTATGGCTTGTAACAGGTTCGGGATAGGTCAGCTTCTTTGCGAAAACAAGAGGCACACCGATTTCGTTGGTTTCGATATTCGGATCTGGCGAGATGACGCTGCGAGCAGCGAAATTGACACGTTTTCCCATCATATGCATTCGGAAAAGACCTTCCTTCTTCTCCAGAACTTGCTTTATGCCTTGGTCAGTTGGCCTGCCAGATACAGGCACAGGAGAATCAATAAGCGCATTTACTGACTCTTGAAGGACAATTGCGGCTTGTAGGCTCTCGTTCAAATTCCTGGGTCTGACCGTTGGGTCAACCTTTGCCCTTTTCGACTCCCTTGAGATACGTTGAACATCACCTGCCGCTTTGATGATTTTGTTCAGCGTAGAATTTAGCTGATTCTCCAGCATCTGATTAGGTCCGTGTCTAGCCAAAGGTCGATACCTATTTGGCGGAACCAGTACTGCCGTGACAAAAAACATATCCGGAGATACTCTCACGGCCTTTCGACCAGGCTGAGAGGCATATATTAGCTGGAGGATTTCTTGCTCTCGGTCAAATAGTAAAGTGAGCGCCGCGTGCACTTCGCTTGTTGTCATATATGCCTGTACGTCGTCTTCATCCTTGATGTCCGCATTCTTTGACTTCGATGTTGTCTCTAACGCATTGCGCATGGCGATTTCTTCTTCGGCTCCGTGTAGTTCTGTCTCCTCAGCGTCTTCGTGATCGGACATTTCAACGTCTTCGTCACGGACTCCGTTGAGCATGGTGGTCTTTTTCACCTCCTCTTTCTGGGTCTGCTCGGAACGGAGAAACAGAAGAGGGTTTGGCGCCTTTTTCCCCAGCACATACATGGCCTCCTTTTGCCTCCCCGCAAGCGGCAGTCTAAATATCTTAACGTTCCTGTCTTTTCTGTATGGGATGCTGGCACCGCCGCAATTGGCGCATTTCTTGAGATTGGGGACCTCCTTCAGGAAAGCTGTAATGACATTCTTCCGCGCAGCGATAGCGATGGGATTTCGGATGAGTGCCTGGTCATCAATAAGCTTCTCCTTGCGCGCCCTTCTGATGGCACGGTCTGTCATCCTCGTTCTCCGGTCAATAAGATCCGCAATTTCTTCCTCTGGTTCGACTTCGGCCATATCTTCGACCACGTTGTCAGAGTTCGTCTTCTTTGGTGTCCTTGGTAGGCCCCCTCTAAGGTGAATGCTCTGGACATTGTGATAATCCTCAACCAGCCCATATTGCAATAACCGGAGGGAGCACACCGTTTGATTGACGAAGTTCTCCGCAGCCTTGAAGCGATGGCAGTAGGCACATTTCGCACGTAGAAGACGTAGAGTAGAATCAATGTATTGTGGATGGTAGCAAGTGACAGGCAGTTCAATGTGTCCGCAGTGCCCGGTGCAGTGGATTGCGTTCATGCGACATGTAGAACAGCTGTGGATGTTAGTACCGAAACTCCTAGGGATTCGAGGACTTACTTCGTGTCCAGCGCCTGTATGGCACCTAGTGCAGGATCATGCAGACCTCCTGGTATCGGACCAAACATAGAATCCAGAGCTGGAGTGACATGGATTCTCTTGACGGAGATCTTTCTGATCTCGTCGGACTGTAGTCGGGAAAAGGCCAGGCCGCCGGTGGCCGCGGGGATTGGTTTGACGTATCCTGCCATTGCGCATCAGAGCCATACCCCGGCAGTCGCAAGAAGCCTGACAAGAGAAATGTTTTTTGTTAGGCTTTCGTGACTTTCTTTGCCCTGCGCCAATCTTTCCTGCTGCGGGGATAATTTTTTTTACACAATTTGGAGTTCGCACTCCGGCGGAGCATATATTTAAGTATGCGGTTTTACAGTGGATCGTCTATACGGTGGAGTATTCTACCCTTCGCGAAGTTGTCTCAAACAGGAAATCGTCGAACACGAATACGAATACGGAGTTGGGGGCTTGTCTTAAAAATTATTGTTGCCTGAGTTCCCTGGATGCTATAAGCAAGAAAGGGGCATTTTAAAAGCCTCTCCAACCTGATACCAATTTTTATACCACTCATAAATACCTCTTTGGTAAGGTTCGATACCTGCATGTTACTCTGCTAGCACAACATGATCAGCGTTGGGCTTCCGTGGAAAGATGCCTCGACAAGCCGCATTGTCCGCCTTGTGCAAGTTGTTTCGCAGTTCACTGCTGCTGTGATTGATATTGCTCTTAATGCTTCAGACATAGCCAATGGCCCCACAGATACAGGTGCTTCGGTGGGTTGCTAGAGATGAAATTTGGATGTATGGGTATCCCTAACGCGACTATATTCATAGGTCTACGCTATCGTCATCGGGTCTTTATCTACACTGACTGCGATGTTATTTGCAATCGATATTCTCTTCCCATTTCCTAGCAGGCTTTGGCTGCTTTGGGTTCTGACCTGGCAATGGGTTCTCACTTTTGCCTGGACGGGCGTGATTGCGGCATTTCGCGGGAAGTATTTCGACAACCAATCCACCCAAATTGAAGTTGCGGCTGGATTCAACATTGCCAACATGCTGCTGTGGCTGACGGGCTCTATCTTTGGTACCATTACAATGTGTTTCAGGAGGAAACTGGGCGGGAAAAAGCCAGATGACGCGGGCGCTTCCCATGATCTCTACGAGCGTTCCTGCTGAAGCGAACCGTGCTGGGTGACCTGGTTAACACAGGCACACTCGGATGGACGTCATTTTGAATGTATTCAATCATGACTTGCCATCAAACCTCCCGGTGAACATGCATAATGCTCCGGATTCGCTGCAAGGGGACTCAAGGTGCATTTATGGGAGCCGGGTACTATGGCCCATGTTCCTTTGTGCTTTGAATATTGAAGTGAACTTCATGGTGCTCGAGCAACATTTCTGCGAAACAACGATAGATCACCTGGTCTGGAGACAAATGTGTCAAAAGCCAACAGTGCAGTCAAAACTTCTCTGTGCCCTTCGGGTCCGAAACGAACCACAGCAACGTCCGCCGCCAAGGGATGGAACACCACGACAGCACACATGGTCCGAAGTGCGGCCTTCCGTTGCAGGCGCGGTGTTGACAACACGCAGGCTAAGAATTTGGACAAAATATCCCCAGGGAAACACCAATTTAAGCTGCAAAGACATTGTCACTTCGTCCTCTGTCCAGCTGAAGCCACTGGAAACATCTCTACCAAGAACCATGACTTCGGGGCAGATACCGCGAGACGAACCTCCTTACACCCTTCAGTCAGAGGCACGAAGGATCTACGAGGCTATCGTCACGGACCCTCGTCTTAAGCTCCCAGAAGAAGTGAAGGGATTGAGAGATAGGGTTCATTTTACTGGTGATGAAACGGACCCTTTCTTCCCAGTTCCGTTTAAGGCAGCAGAATCTCAGGCTGGCCTACTTGGCTACATAGGACTGTTGGCCCTTACCATTGCCGAAGATCGATATGGTATTGAGCAAGAATGTCAGATCGATGTCTCTCAAGCCTTACTCAATGGTCTCGGTGCTCTTTTTGTTCGCCATGAGGGAGAATGGTTGTCCGGCAGTCCGAAAATGATGGCGGCGGTCCAACGATGGGACCATGGTATGACGCGGGAGCTTTATCGGCAGCTAGCAACGAACATATACAAATCAAAAGACGGGCGGTGGTATTCGCTGCACGGCAACATGAATCCCACGCCGCTATTGGAGATGCTCAATCTCCCACAACACAACGAGAAGAACCTCACATGGCCGCAAATAATTGACTTGTACAGCAAGGTCGTCGGAGACATCAACTCACAGCTTCTTGACGACTGGAGTAACAATGTATATCGAACTCCCGGCACTTTATGTCTTGAGAAGGAAGAGTTTGAATCCACTCCTCAGGTACCGTTGATGAAGCGATTCCTCAGCGCATTCTCGTCTGACTTCTTACAGGGGAAAGCGATCAGGGACGAACCCTACTACAACTTGGTTCCACAGCATCATTATACTCAACCTTCCGTGGCCTGGGACAAAGTGTCATTTGACCCAGCCGACTGTCGGCCGCTCTCTGGGATCAAAGTTCTGGATCTTTCACGGGCAATTGCCGCGCCCACCATTGGCCGCGTCTGCGCAGCCTTGGGTGCAACAGTCATTCGGGTGTCGTGCTCAAAGAATACTGAACTGCCCATCACACTCATTGACGGTTGCATCGGCAAGACTAGTGTCGACATAGACCTCAAGACCTTCGATGGGAGAAAGAAACTGCTCGAACTCATTGAAGATGCTGATGTGTTCATTGACGGCTATCGCCCTGCTGTAATGGAACACCTTGGCTTTGGCCGCGATGCCGTCCTGGGTCTGGTGGCTAAGCGAGACAGAGGCCTTGTTTATTGTCAGGAAAACTGCTATGGCTGGAAAGGTCCGTGGACCACCAGACCCGGCTGGGCACAAATCGCCGATACTGTTAGTCAAAGTCTTTCTTTCTGTTGCTCCAGCTAACCGCGACCTCCAGGTTTGCGGTATTGGCATGGACATTGGCCGGTTCCATGGATATGATGAGCCGCACATATTCCCAGGCCCCAACGCCGACTACCTGACGGGCCACGCCGGCGCCGCCGGGGTTTTACATGGTCTCTACCTCCGCAGCCGTCAAGGCGGGTCGTACGTGGTCCAATGCTCGCTTGTCGTCTCTAATATGCAAATGCAGTCCTATGGCAAGTACACAGAGGAGCAACAGGTGCCGCTGAAGGCTCGAAACAAAGACCTGGTTGGCAGAATACGCCACTACGATGAGATTGTCAGCCATGGGAGAAATGAAAACGTGATCAGGGGATTTATCGCCAACAGGGGGTTTGAGAACGCCATCAAAAAAGAGTACTACCAGAAGGTAGATGGCAGCATGTGGGGGCTAGGTGATCTGGATCTTGTAAAGTTGGCATTGGAGTTCCAGGCCTGCGGAAGTCCAGCTGATTCTGAAGCGATGAGGACCGACTGGCATATTGGGCCTTGTCCGCCGGGGTATCATCTGCCCAAATGGGAGCGGAAGGAAAACGAAAACTTCGAGCCAATCCAGCCGACTCAAAGTGGTTCAGAATAGAGGATAGTCCCCGAAGAACACCCTCGAGCAGCATCAAACAAGCTTTTCACAGACTCGCAAAGCATCCTTGTAGCAACAGTCGCTTGTCTTTGTTGGAGGAATTGAGCATACCACCGACCTCGCCGACTGTCTGGAGGAAGTCGAGACGGCATCCTGCGATTGAGCCAAGACAAGGGACGGAGAATCAGCAATTCATAGAATCTTTGGATTGCTGATCACACTCATCAGAGTGGTGTAGCCTCTGTTGTGTCTCATCTCAATGCGTACCATGGATTCCCTGGGGATAATGGACGTCGTAAGCAGTTGGCGATTGAAACTTCTGGCCCGGGTCTCTGGCATCACACCCGGTACAGGCCTATCGGAGGGAAAATAACCACAATTCGCTCCGGAGAAAACCAGAGGCTGCGAAGGCCTATCAAGCAGACCTAGTGCCGGCCCTGCCGAAGATCCTCCCACTGGCAGTATGAAACGTGCAAGGCAGCACTTCCTTCCAACTTCGAGACTAGCAAGTCTTCACTAAACAGGAAGCATAGTTCGACATGTCGAACTGTTGCCAAGCAGGAAAGGCGGCTCCAGGTATGTCTCCCGCTGACTCAAGTGTACCAGTTGCCTCCTATACCAACCTCTTGCAGATTGGGAGGATGATTGACACTTGTTCACCGTAGATTCCTACATCCCACGCGGGCAATATGCGATCCTAGGCGGCGTTATTTGTTACGTTAGTGACGGCGAACTGGACTCGCACGCTGGAAAAGGAGTTTTGCTGCTATTGCCCGATGGCTTCGGCCTGGCGAAGCACAATCTGATACTCGCAGATACCTTTGCAAAAGAAGGATGGCAAGTGATCATACCCGACTATTTCGAAGGTCAGCCATTCATCCAGCTCCATTCCGGACAACTCTGATACCTGACCAGGAGACCCGTTGCCTATTCAATTCCTCAAGCAGGATCACTCTTTGTCCATCGATGAGCAACCATGGCCCGAGGAAGAGAAGCAAATCCTCCGGGACCTAGACTTTTCATCCTGGCTTCAACGACACGACCATGCGAAGGTCTCTGCCCTTCTCAACAACTTGGCCAGCCATATTAAAGGCCACTACCCCAATGCTACAGTTGTCGGCGTAGGGTATTGTTTTGGCGGCAAGCATGTCCTGAGGTTGAGTAAGGACATGCTGGCAGCGGCTGCTTGCTTTCACCCCAGCTTTGTGGAAGCCGAGGACATGGATGGCATTCAGGCGCCTCTCTACATCGGACTGGCTGAGAAGGATGACATGGTCCCTGCTTCACTACCCGAAGACCTTTGCCACTGGGCAAACAGCAGAATGGGTCCGAATGTACCCTTCAAGATAGAGAGCTTTCCACAGATGGGACATGGATTTGCTGCACGGCCTGATACCGATGACGGGAATGTTCGTGCCCAGTACCAAACGGCATTCATTCGTACACTTGAGCACTTTAACGAGTTTACTCCCGGTAGAAAAACGCATTAGGATCCAAAAATACATACTTTATATACCTCTGATCGCGAGCAAGTGGAATTTACCTCATATTAACGGAACAGCGGACAAAATCTTTCAGAGGCGAGCTTTCGCACTGTAACTCCCGGTCGGATCTCCAGCAACAAATTTTTGAAGATCAAGCTGCTTATCAATATTGCAGACCTAGGTTGTACTGATTTGCACCTTCCCGATAGGCTTCTCAATGACCTCCCACTGGTCCCAGTGAATCTTTCTCAGCATCCTTCTGAACTGCCACCACGTCCATGGCATTGTGAAGGTATTCCAGCCATCGTCGTTTTTGTAGTAGGTGACGCAGTCTGGACGGGCCCAGACAAAGGTCCCAGTCTGCCTCCGCTGGACTTCGACATTGTACTCCCGCTCAAAATCCCGTCGCGGATGAATCGCAAGCTTCACGCCTTTTCGTGCTCGCAGCACTGCCTCTTTGACGACCTTGGCCGTGAACCTCGCTTGCCGCTCCCAATTGTCTTGTTGCGACGACCAAACATGTGCCGAATTCGGACCGAAACAATAGAACATGTTCGGGAACTGGCTGGTGGCCAACCCGTAAAGAGCCTCAGGATGGTCTTTCCACTTGACTTGGAGATCCAGTCCGTTGATTCCCGTCACCTTTTCATGCTCTAGGAACTGGGACACGTTGAATCCAGTGCCGAAAATGATGATGTCGTATTCACGCTCGATCTCCTTTCCGCTCGGCTTGTCCTTGGATACTACACCTTTTTCGGTATATCGGACAAGGTCTTCTCTGAGAACTGTGCAATTCTTTCTTGCAAGGGCCGCGTAAAAGCCGTCCAAATGCAATGGCCTCTTGCAGAAGACTTTGGAAGTTTAGTACTGACCTCCTTGCGGAGAAGAAAGGGCCGGGTGATATCACTTACACTTGGAATGAGGTCGGACCTTTTCTCGAAGTTCCGGGTCAGAGATTTGGGACTCCATGAAATTGATCGCTTCCTGTGTCATCTTGTCGTTCATAGGGTTCCCATCCGTGGCCATCGGACGACAGTTGCGCATCATCTCCAAGTTCATGTACGTCCTAACTACCCACGCAAACAGCGGTATCCATTTGATGGCCCATCGGAAAAGCCTGGTTAGTACTTAGCACTCTTTCAACAGGTTGGGAATCCAGGCGAATATACCTCGAATAAGCAAAATCACCCCGTGCAATGCAGACCGGTGGTGTCCTCATATACACGGTCAGATGCTCCGGCTTGTCGATGATCTCAGGAAGGATCTGTGCTGCACTTGGCCCACAACCGATGATAGCCACCTTCTTGCCGGTCAGGTCGCAATCATGCCTCCAGTGAGCAGTATGCCATGCTGTGCCTTTAAAGTTCTCCCTGCCCGGCGTGTTGCCCCATTTTGGCCGATCTAGGCTTCCAACGCATTGGCAGACAAAGTCGGCGATCCAGTGTTCAGTTTCACCGGTCCTTTTGTTTGACACAGCCACATGCCACACCATCAGGTCGTCGTCCCATGCACATGACCGAACAAAGCTTTGAAACTGTGTGCACTTATCGAGGCCATATTGGAGCGCAAATTCGGTGTAGTACTCCTCAATCTGAGCCCGTTCTGCGTAGAAGTGAGTCCAGTCTGCGCGAATTAGCATTAATATCCCCGATACAGAGGTCCGACACTGGCGGGAGCATGACTGACTTTTGTTTATATGATAGGAGGTGGTATAGACCATGGCGGGAACGTCACAAGCACAACCTGGGTACTTGTTCTTCTGCCAGACGCCGCCGTAGCCGTCCAAAGCGTCCATGATCTTCATGTCGCCATGCTTGACATAGCCATCTCTAAGCAAAACCGTCGCTTGCTGGATTCCATTGATGCCTGCGCCGACTATTATGACCTTCTTACGGCGTTCCAGGGGGACTGAGCTTGCAGGTCCAAAGAGAGTGTGCTCTTGTCCGTCTCTCCCAAAACCCGTGAATGCTCCATATTCATCACCACCGACTGTGCCTCTGTCGAAAGTCTTAACCGGTTGGGGTGTAAGACTTGGTGGCATCTCACCAGGACCTAGGCTGGAGTTACTGGCGACCATGCTGAAGGATGATATGCTGCAAGAGTTGACTACTGCTCTTTTCTGAAGCCGTGGTGTCCTGTGACGCGTCGAACAATGACCCTCGACTTTCAATCTCGTGTATCCAGAAGTAATGCCTGTATTCTGTAAAGATCTGTCCAGTATTGAAACTCTTGTAAGCTCAAGCCTGTGCGTAGCGGGTGGCAACAAGGTCAACTGCCCATCTCCGGGCCGACAATTGTATTCTTCGCGGCAACGGTCCGGGCAGAAAGAGATGAGTGGATCGCTGGAGGGGTACGCGCCACCACTGGCAGGGCCGATATGAAGAAGTTAGACATGACCGATTGCTCCTGGAGTTGCTTGAGACCCTCAAGAACTCTACGCCGGTTGTGTGCGCTAAGTCTGATATTCCCTAACAATGCCGTGAACGAGAAGGGGAATACAAGTGTGGTAAACTCCGCGCCCCGATGCCACCTTATGCCCGGGACAATGATCAGTCGAACTTGAAGTCTTCTACATTCTACCAATTACTATTCCCCAAGATCTGGCTCTATCGGACTTCTTCAGCGTGCTTGGGTGAACACACACCACAGTGTATGCGATCAATTTGCTGCCGCTTCGCGACTGACTCCGCAGATCCACTGGACAATGAGTATGCTAGTATGGACTGCCCACTCGCTGCCATGTTCTCGAACTCCCGCGGAGATTTGCCTTATGCACCCCAGACGGAGACTCGGCTCTCAGAAGTACATAAGCGGAGATGAAGTACAATATACCTTTATGGGCCTGTTCATCCAACTCCGCCTCCACTACTCCCATGACGAATGCACACGCAACCCTCTCTTTTGACCATGAAGCGTCTTGCTCTACACGAGATTGAACATAGCCATGGCACGGTTCAATTGATTTCAGGTAATGGTCTGTCACTCGCGTTGAGCGATCGATACTGACTTAATGGAACCAGGGGGCACAGCCTTACAGCACAAAAAAGGAACCTCGATTGTTCTCGTCCCCCAACCAAACCAAAATGACCCCAACGATCCTTTGGTAGGGGAATTCATCTTTTCAAATGCTTTATACAGTCGCTGACTTGTCTCAGAATTGGTCATTCACAAAGCGCGTGACGGCCTTCTGGTCTGTGCTGTGGTTGTCTGGCTTGTGCAATTTCTGCATCACAGGACTGGCTCCCGGCTTCGGACAGATTATAGCTGAATTCGAAGTCAGTCTCACACAAGTGACATGGCTGATATCGGCGTGTCTCCTTGGGGAGTTTATGGGATGTTACACCGTCGCCCCTTTCTCGACCCGTTATGGGAAACGCCCAATCTGGTTGCTCATCAGTATTTTCTTCTTCCTGTGCAATATTTGGGCATCGGTGGCGAAATCATATCCCTCTCTTCTGCTGGCAAGATTCTTTGCATCGTGGGCAAGTAAGTCCGACCGAGATCTCAAGCGATGAAGCGTTCAATAGAATGCCTCGAATTGACTCTTGACTTAGGTGGCACCAGTGAGCCTCTCAGTGTGGACACTCTCCATGATCTCTTCTATCTACACGAGCGAGGCACCCAGGCCGGAGTCCAAACTATTTGGCTTAGCTGGGGCAGCTCTCTGGCGCCCGTGATCTGTGGCTACCTCATCCAGGCAAAAGGCTGGCGCTGGTTTCACTGGCTTACCAGCATCATGGCCGGGGTAGATCTAATCTTGATCTTCCTCTTTGTCCCGGAAACACAATACCATCGAGATCTGCACAAGGCGCTAGACTCCGTTGGCATCGAGGAGAACGACCAACTTGAACTTGGTGATCAGCGTTCGTCCTCTGCTGACCTCATGACCAAGGTTGAAGACGAAACCACAACTGAGATGGTCGAGACCCAGAGCCCAAAAGCAGTGAAAAATTCGTTTCTTCAAGAGCTGAAGCCTTGGTCTCCAGTCCAGAGGGATGTGAACGTGGTGGCCTCGTTCTTGAGACCCTGGGCGACTTGGTGTTATCCTAGTGTTGTGTGGGCTGTCTTCTCATTCTCCATTCATGTGACATGGTGGGTCCTGTTTCTTCTCATAGCCCCCAAGGGCCTTGCTGACCTAGCGCTTATACAGTGTCGTGGTATTGATAACCATGATACCTGTCTATTTCGGAGCTCCGCCTTACAACTTCTCCATCGGCCAGCAGGGTCTTGTTTATCTGAGCTCATGCATTGGAAATGCCTTTGGGTCGATATTCTGCGGCTTCTTGAACGACAAGTTGAGCCAATGGTCCACGAGACGCAACCACGGCGTCTTTGAGCCCGAAATGCGTCTCCCTGTGACCATATTTCCTGCCCTTCTTGTGCCAGCCGGGCTCTTGATGTTTGGAGTTGGCTTGCAGCATGGGGCTCACTGGATCGTCCCAGTCATTGGCGTTGGCCTCGTGGGAGTGGCATTGACTGGAATAGGATCGATCATCCAGCCGTATCTAATGGACAGCTACACTCCTATTCTTTTTGACTGCCTCGTGGTAAGTAGCTCTCTTGCTAAGTGCGGGCAACTGCTGATGAGTCTACAGACCTTCAATGGATTCAAAAACCTAGTGTCGTTCGCCGTCGGTTTTGCAGTCGTTCCCTGGCTTCAAACGGACGGCCTGGTGGCCGTTTTCTGTATCCTTGCTGCATTGGTCTTCGTCATTGATGCAACGGTGGTGGTCATCTACATCTTTGGCAAGAGATTGCGCCAGCGAGACTCTAGGCTCAAAGTTTTCCTTTTCTAATTGGAAGAGAACGAAACGTCGTGTCATAGGCACATTTGGGCATTCGAGGTTGAGAAAATACATTACGTAGTATTCGGAAATCAGAATCGACGAGGAGGCTGAGCCAACAACGACGTTACCGTCTCATTGCGAGATTTCGCCCCAAGCCTGTTCATTAATATCACCCCGGGCGTCGCTAGGCACACACCGATACGTCGCAGGACATTTCGGACTGCCCCGAATTCCAAAACAACTTAGCGTCGAATACTCCCACTCTTTCCAATATCACAAAATCATACAATTGGCTACGTACGGCTCCCTTATTTTCGAAATTGGCTTTCCAGTGGCCCCCTAGCCATCCGCCGAGCCACCAAAAGTTGTTCCGGCCGGTGATGTTATCCTTAGAGGTCTCGTTGTCTTCAGGGCTGAGACCAATACAAAGACTATAACGAGTGTCTTGATTGAGAATGCTGATGCCTTCAGTAGACACCATTGGACGCGGTAATTAGAGGTAATCACATGGTCTTCAGTATAAGGATCAATGCCATGAAGAGACTATTGAAGCACTGAGCTTGTCGACAAGCGGAGTCATGATATTGGAGCCTTCTGGAACTGGGCTCAGGGCATTGAAAATCCCCCATTCACTGGCAAACAGGCACCCGTGATCCAGCCGCTCCTCTCTTCGCAAAGGAAAGCAATCGCGTATGCTATTTCGGACGGCTCTGCCATGCGTGGCCCCATCGGCGTTGCTTCGAGGAGAGGCTGGATGTTCTCTAGAAAATTGGGGCCAGACTGAGTGAAGCCGGCTGTATTTGTAGGCCCTGGCTCGACTGCATTGACGGTGCAGTGATATTTCGGTCCTAATTCTCTGTCCAGATCAGCCATGATGTGATACTCTGTGATACCGTGGAAATCTCGCAACCTACAGAGCCCAGCATCTGGTGAAAGATTCAATCATCGATTTGGTACCACTATATACTGTGGAACCTGGAAAGCCCTGGCGCGCACCGACGCTGCTGAGGTTGACAATACGGCTGTTCTGTGCCAGATGAGGCAGCACAGCTTGAGTGAGCAAAACCATCCCTCTCACATTAAGGTCAATCTGCATGTCCCACTGGTCCAAGGTAATGTCTTTGAGAGGCCGCATGATGGCTATGCCTGCATTATTCACCAAGATGTCTATGGGTCTACCAACCAGCCGGACAGCTTCATTTATGAGCTGCTGGGGTCCACCGAGCGTAGACATGTCCGCCTCAATTGCTCGACACTGATCAGCGGCGATGGCGCCGCTCAATTTGATGGTTTCGAGTACTTTCTCCGCGTCAACTTGCTGAGAAGGCCATGGATAGTTCACTATCACGAGTGCTCCCCTATAGCGAGGATTCAGTTAGTCGTCGAACCATTACGATCGGGCTTCTGACTTACCTCGACGCCAACTCCACGCAAGTAGCTGCCCCAATTCCTCTGGCGCTGCCACTTACAATGGCAACCTTGCCTTCCATTGTCTGCTTGCTTGCCATTTGGTCACTCTGCCAAAAACAACTAGCAGTTAAAGGACACGCGCCGCCACAAAGTATTGATCATTGAAGCATTGTACCAGCTCTGCATCCTGGACCATTCAGCAGCTGAGTTTTGTGGAGGCAGAGAGGCTGCGATGAGCTGCGATATTCAGTCATGATGGACCCGGGCAACACGGTGTGAAGGATATCCCGAAATAATGCCTGCTGTCTCCTTCATGATAGTCTCGGAGTTCGGGCAAACCACACTCAAGTCCGTAGCGCATGGTCGCTCCAGAAGATGTCTTACAAATCTCAGGCACCTATAGGCCATAACCAGTCTCGCTAAGTCTTAGTGGCACTTGGTATGTCAAGCAAAGTTTGAGCACACGGTCATCTTGTCGGCCCTGAGATGAACAATCCATGGATGACGGGAAGTCTCTGAATGCCATCGGTTGTTCTCTGGGGCACTCCGTATTCGTGGGGTAGTCCACGGATACTTAGCGAGGCTGTGCACATGTCCTGGAATGTACGACCCCGCAACACCCCCATACCAAGCCTGGTGATAAGTCCCAGTATCTTTTCCAGCCCATCGTTCTTGGAGATTGTAAGGGTTGAGCTTTCAGAGTCAATCACGCAGGAGAAGATACGGTGCTGGATTTCCCATAGAGCTTTATGCTACCTGACTATCGCCCCAATCCAACCAGCACAAAATGCATTTTACCGAGGATGCAACCTGGAGGGACGCTAGGTATCATTGCTCGATTTGCTCTCGTCCGTTTGATCGCAAAGACACGCTCGCAAGACACATGCGCGTCCATGATAAACACCGACCACAGCCGAAGACAAGAAGGAAAGCCTGTCTTTCCTGCTCTCAGTCCAAGACTCGATGCAACGGCGAACGACCATCGTGCGCATCGTGTGCACGCCGGAGCTTGACTTGCATTTACGGTGACTCAGGTCAGAATCAGGAAAAGCCGACAGCTTCACGATCAAGAGGTGGAAGTACTGCGACGTACGACCAACAATCAGATGACTCTCATGCCCTAGGAGACGGTTCGGGGAATGACTTGTTCTCGCCCTTGAGTGGCAATCAGCTGCTCGAAAGCGGCACAAATGAAGTTTCCATGGCTCATCAAGAGAATCATAGCACGACTCGGTATCGTTGCGCCAACTCCGCTCCTGAGCACAACATCACTTCCAATGAGGGCCCCCACAACCTGTATTCCACGTTTGATGATATGGACTTCAACTCAAACCTTGACTGGATACTCAAGGACGTTAGTGGCGAGGATCTGCTTAGCCCTGCTGATTTATTCGGCTTCCAAGGGTGTTCTGATGGCCTGTTCTCTCAGACTCTGCCTGTATCGGCTGTCCCTGCGCCGGTGCTATCAACAAGGTACACTGATGCTGGAGATCACGATCGCGAGGACCTGAGTGGGCATGACCCTGATTCCACCACTGCATTAGGTGGCCTTCTCACTCCGCAACCCCAGGAGATGGGAGACCCAGGAGATCCATGGCCCCTAGACACTCCCAGGCCGACTCAAAGCCACATGGCATTGCCAGCACTGGGCGGGGAGGGCCATGATTTCCATGCCTTCGCCAGGTTCTTCTCGGTGATGCCAGTTAGCGATCGCACCTGGCATGCACTTCGAAAATGCCTCATGCTTCCATTCGAACACAACTCGATTCAATCTTTGAACCTGGACCAGTTCCCCTCCAAAGAGAAGCTGGATCACTGCATCGACTTATACTTCGCGTACTTCCACCCGACGCTCGATCTTGTGCACCAACCAACCTTTGATCCCGGCAGAGACTTGGTGCTGACCTTGGCCATGGTCAGCATTGGAGCTTGCTACTCTGATCTTCCAGGCGCCAAAGTTTTCTCCATTGTCCTTTCTGAGCTGATTAGAAGACTCCTAATCTTCATGGCCGAGCAGGACCGCCGATTTGTTCGAACTGGGCCCTATCTTACCGCGCAGCTTCTGCAAGGCACCCACGGCTATTGCACTGGTAGCGAGCGCCTTTTTGAGCTGAGCGAGTCATCTCGTAGTACCTTGCTGCACCAAGCGCGATGTATGGGTCTGTTCCGCTTCGAAGCACCGGCGCCGACCCAGGAGGACCTAACATTGGAAGATATGTGGCGGCAATGGATCGAGGCCGAGAAACTACGGCGCCTGGGCTGGGTCCTATACATGTATGATGCTTCGGTAGCATATCTGCTCAACAACCGACCGTTTTTGAGCATTGGTGACATTAACCTCAACCTCCCAGCTTCCGCCGAGGAATGGGCTGCTGAGACTGCACAGGCTTGGGCGGCCCTTCATCCTCCACGGACTTATCCCACGAACTTGCCCTTGCGGCCTACCATCAGAATACTCTTTGATGGGACACCAAATGCCGCTGAAAAGATTACCGATGAAGGGCACCGTTTCCTTGTTGTTTTGACCTTGGTCAGGATGCTGTGTTCGTTGAAAGAGAACCGATCTTCACCACTCAACGACCTGATAATGCCTGCTCCTTTCGACGACGGTCGGACCGATCTTCTGCGGGCCCTTGATGCCATGTCTGTGTCCATTGTGGTGTTATCCAAGAGCCATACAAAGACAGAAGTTGATCGACTGGTGCATCGAATGCGGTTGATTCATGTTGCTCACATCTACGGAGCGGGCGACCTAATGAATTGGCTCTACCCATACCTCCGCCACGGGCTCGAGGCTGAAAATGCGGCCGTCCGCATGAGGCGCTGGGGATCGGAAGACTCGCAGAGAACGCGAGAAGTCGCATACCATAGCGCGCAGATCTTGGGCTTAATCAGAAACTACCCGAACTCCATGCCACTGGAGCCCTATCTGATCTTTCATGCAGGGGTGGTCCTCTCATGCGTTGCCCTGTTGCTGCCTCCTAGCACGCCTTCAAACCAAAGCCCGCAGCTGCAGATTGACCAGCTCGACCCCGGAGACAACAGCATTGCCAAAAGACATCTTCACTGGGTTAAAAGTGGTGGGCCTCAGTGTATCAGCATCTCTGGTGTTCAGTCACTCTGCGCTCCAACGGGCCGGCAGGAAGTTCTGGATCAAACCGCGGCATTGTTGAAACGTCAAAAAGTCTGGGGGATTGCACGGAATTTGGAAAAAGTGATTCTGGCTCTGAGAGGTCGTGAACAGGATACAGTTCTATAAGCGGGACAATGCTTTTGTCGGATTTTACTCTGCAAATCATTCTCCTGAGTGCCTAACCGGAGCATCCAGAGTCCAAGATGAAAACTACGCAAGTGGCTCATTCTCAGAGGCTGCCGCGGCTCTCAGTGACTACCCTGTCGTCGTCCCAAGCAATCACTTGCCCATTGAGGTCCTTGGGGATCCCAGTAAGCGCCAGCCTCACAAATGTACTTGCCGGTGCTTCTGGGCGGAGCAATTCTCCATTGGCGTGAAGAGCTGTCAGCCAATTATACTGCTCAGCGGGCATGCGCGACTTGTCTGAAGCGTGTGAGTGCCACTGGGGTATTGTTCACCATCAGCGAAGAAACTTACGCTCCTCCCGCACTTCTGCTTGCATTCCTGAATCTACAATGCCTGGCGTTAGACACAGGAGCGTAACCTTGTCCTCCTCCTTTGCCAGGCCGGCGCACAGACAGTTCATGGCTGCTTTGGAGCAAGCATAAGCAGCCCAGGCGTGGTATGGCTGCAGTGAGACCCCCGATGAGGTCATGAGGATTTGGCCGTTTGTTCGACGCAAATATGGTAGTGACAGCTGAACCTGGAAACGGCGTCAGAAGCCTGATGGTTCTCGCCGTTTCCGACGCATGTGGTGCCTCGTTTGATATACTCACAGCATGGACAAGCCCGAAGAAATTAACGTCAAACAATCTCTTCCAATCTTCTATGGGCGTATCGGCAATGGGGCCGACGGGACGGAGGATGGCCGCATTCAAGATAATACAGTCGATCTTTCCCCTCTGCCGGGTGGCAGTTTCGATGGCATTTTGATTTGTAGATCGATTCGTAATATCTCCCTGGACCACTAAAAGGCGTTGGGCGTATGAGGTCGCCAGCGCTTCGAGCTCCGATGTTTTGATATCCACACCAACAACGAGAGATACTGTATCCTGCGCCAGCAGAATCTTCGTTATTGCGAGACCTATTCCCGCACCTCCGCCCGTAACGATGCTGGAATGCTGTGAGACATGATTGAAAGCCCAGGAGCAGATAGATTACATTACTTTACCTCCGACACTGTCAGTACCCATGGATGCTAATATCCGTATAAGGTGATGTTTATATGCAAGTCTTAACCGATTAAAATTTGGGAGATGTATCTTATTTCTCTTTGTATTTAGTAGATGCTGCTCTTCCTCTCCGCGTAATGAGCCTCGGAGCTGCCAGGCGGTGCCCACGTTTAAATCTCTTGTGTTATAGTGTCGGTTTTCAACATGGTATAATAGACAATATAACAGCGACATTCTAGGAAAGACCACCGCAGCTCCCGAAAAAGTATGAAGACCGAGACGACTGCCGAACGGGAATGACGATGCGGACCTTCTGTCCGATGGCTCCCATGTACGTGGGAGTATCTCGACGGAAGCATTGTAGATTCCGGACGGAGCAACCTGCGTGTATCTCTCCACATATCGTCACGCGCTTTAATGCTTTGGACCAATGTATAGTCGTTCGGACTTCGGAGTGGATTGGAACCAGTGGCCGGGGACTCGAAGAAGCTGCCATGCCTTACGGGGAGAAATGCATCAATTTCAATTCGCGGGGTACCGCAACGGGCATTGGAATTGATTTAGTTTGTTTGAAACATCTGTACTCCGACGCCATGTAACATGCATCTCGTCATAATAAGAGATTCTGCTACACTGGAATGGAGGCTAGGGGCGCCACGACGACGCCTTTTACAAGATGGTCTCAACAAGTCATTTCAACGAGAGAGAAATTGCTGCTACAATGGGGATCCTCAACAAGTCCAGCAGCGCCCGACTTATCTCGCTGGGAAAGCATCTAAAGCCTCGAGACGTC